TAGTGTAATATTGGCTTCATAGAACGTGTTTGGTATTGTCCCTTCCTTCTCAATTTTTTGGAAGAGTTTGTGAAGGATAGGCACTAATTCGTCTCTGAATGTTTGGTAGAATTCATTTGTAAATCCATCAGGTCCTGGGCTTTTGTTTTTGGGGAGGTTTTTAATTACCATTTCAATTTCGCTGCTTGTAATTAGTCTGTTTAGGTGTTCTATTTCTTCTTTATCTAGCTTTGGGTGATTGTAGAGTTGTAGGAATTTGTCCATCTCCTCTAGATTGTTGAACTTGTTTCCATATAACTGTTCATAGTAGTTACTGATTATTGTTTTGATTTCTGCTGTGTCCGTTGTGATTTCTCCTCTTTCATTTATGATCCTGTGTATTTGTGCTTTCTCCCTTTTTTCCTTTGTGAGCCTGGCTAGGGGTTTGTCTATTTTATTTATTTTTTCAAAGAACCAGCTCTTGGTTTCATTGATCTTTTGGATTGTTTTTTTAGTTTCAATTTCATTTATTTCTGCTTTGGTTTTTATTATTTCTTTTCTTCTACTGGTTTTGGGGTTTTTTTGTTGTTCTTTTTCTAGATCTTTGAGCTTCGAGATTAGGTTGTTTCTTTGAGTTCTTTCTTGTTTTTTGATGTGAGCTTCTATTGCTATATATTTTCCTCTTATTACTGCTTTTGCTGCATCCCATACATTTAGGATATTGGTGTCCTCCTTGTCATTCAATTCAAAGAATTTTTTAATTTCTTCTTTGATCTCCTCGTTAGTCCAGTGGTCTTCCAGTAGTGTGGCTTTTAATCTCCATGAGGTAAGATAGTTCCTTGCCTTCTTTTTATGATTTATTTCTAGTTTGATGCCTTCGTGGTCAGAAAAGATGGTTGGTATGATTTCAATCTTGGTGTATCTGTTGATGTTTGTCTTGTGCCCCAGTATGTGATCGATCCTGGAGAATGATCCGTGTGCGCTTGAGAAAAATGTGTACTCCGTTTTTTTTGGGTTTAGTGTTCTATAGATGTCTGTTAAGCCCAAATGCTCTAGGTCCTTATTTAGAGCTTTAGTTTCTTTACTTATTTTTTGTCTTGTTGATCTATCCATTGTTGATAGTGGTGTGTTGAAGTCTCCCACTACGTATGTGTTTTCTCTGATGTCTGTTTTCAGAGAGGACAACAGTTGTCTGATATATTTTGGTGCTCTTTCGTTTGGTGAGTATATGTTAATGAGTGTTATTTCTTCTTGAAGTATTGTCCCCTTAATCATAATGTAGTGACCATTGGGGTCTCTTTTATTTTTTTGAGTTTGAAGTCTGTTTTATCTGATATAAGTATAGCTGTTCCTGCTTTCTTTTTTGGCCCATTTGCTTATAGGATTGTTTTCCATCCTTTGACTTTGAGCCTATTTTTATCTTTTGTAGCTAAATGTGTTTCCTGGAGACAGCAAAAGGTTGGGTTTTGTTTCTTAATCCAGGCTGCAACTCTGTGTCTTTTTATTGAAGAGTTTAGTCCATTTACATTTAGAGTTAATATTGATATGTTAGCATCTGTATTTGCCATTATGTTTGTCTTTCCTTTGATTTTATTTATTTATTCTTTTAATAACTTTTTTTTTTTTTTTGGTCTTCTTTCGTTGTTATTCGTCCCTCTGAGGTTCTGGCTTTAGGATTCCTTGTAGTATTTTTTGGAGTGGGGGTTTAGTCGCAATGAAATCCCGGAGTTTCTCTTTGTCTGGGAAGGTCCATATTCTTTCTTCATGGAGGAAAGAGAGCTTTGCGGGATAGAGTATTCTTGGTTGGCATCTGTTTTCTTGGAGTCTGTTGACTATGTCCCTCCACTCTCTCCTTGCCCGTAGTGTTTCTTCAGAGAAGTCTGATGTCAGCCTGATTGGTTTTCCTTTGAATATTATCTGTTTCTTCCCTCTTGTCAGCTTCATTATTTTTTCCTTGTCCTGGATTCTTGGGAGCTTTACTATTATGTGTCTTGCTGTGTTTTTCCTTTCGTCGTGGAAGTTTGGTGTTCTTCTTGCTTCTTGTATATCAATTTTCAGCTCCTTCTTCGCATTTGGGAAGTTCTCTTCAATTATATCCGTGAATATTTTCTCTGTTCCTACATCTCTCTCCTCTCCTTCTGGAATTCCTATAACTCTTATATTTCCTTTCCTCATGGAGTCAGATAGTTCCCGAAGTCTTTCTTCATTCTTTTTCCTTCGTACTTCTCTTTCCTTTTCTGTTTTGGTTCTTTTTATTTCTGTGTCTTCAAGATTACTTATTCGTTCTTCCATTTCATCTATTCTGCTTTCATTGCTTTTCCCAGAGTTCTTTAGTTCCTCCATTAATTCTTTGATCTCCTGCATTTCTCTTACTTCCCTCTTTAGGGACTCAATTTCCTTCTTTTGATCTATCACTTTTTTAATCATGGCAATTTTAAATTCTCTTTCTGGAAGGCTCAGAAGTTCTTCCAAGTTGCTGTCGTTGCAATCTGGGGAGTGGTTTTCTATTTGTGGTGTGCTTCTTTCCTGAGGAGTTGTTAGGTTGCGTGTGGTTCTTCTACTCCCTACTGTCTGTTTTCTAATTTGTCGTATGCGTTGGGACACTGTGTTGCTCGGACTGACTGGCATCTTGGGTGAACTTCTCCGCTCCCCTCTGGCTCTTCCAGGAGCCATCTCTGTCTTCTGGGGGAGCTTTCTGCTGGTTTTAGGCAGTTTTTACTGAAGAAATGTCCCTGTTCTCAAATGGCGAAGCGGGATGCAGTCCCTGCGCCTCTGGTTTCAGGCACACTCTTCTGCGCCCCTGGTCTGCCCCGGACATGGGTGCCTGCTCCCTCTGTGGGCTCAGACTGCTGGTCGGAAGGGGCCTGGCGTGGAATAACTTCCCGGCTGACCACTGGGTCCTCCAGAAGCCTTCTGCCCTTTTCAAGCAGTCTTAAGAAATTTCCTGTTTTATGGGGTGTTAGTGACTTTTTTTTCCTGGTCGCTAGGTGGCGCCAGAGATCTCTCCTATTGTCCTTGGGGGGCTGTTTTTCGCCTCCCCCTACCCCGTGGGACAGGGAACAGAGCAGGAATGGTAGGGTACACCTCAACAGCTTTGGGGTGCTGTGTCTGCCTTGTGCCCCACCGTCGTGGAGAACCCACGCCCCGAATTTTCGTGCCCCGGGTCTCAGTTCAAAGCCCTCAGTTCCAGGACGCGGGCTGTAGCCCAGTTCAGTGGCGCGGGAATGGCACCTTTTGCACCGCTCCCGTGCCCGGGTGCCTGGTTCCTGCTCACTCAGGGAGGGACCTTCACCTCAGTGAGGACCTCCGCGCGTCTCCCCGCAAGCCTAGGTCGTCTCCCTGCAAGCCTAGGTCGCAGGCGCGGGGACCTGGGCAGCCGCGATCCCGGTCTGCACTTGCTTTTCAAGCGCGCCAAGCGGGCCGCGTTTCCGCGCCAGCTTACCGGCAGCCCGGGCTGTGTGCGCGTCTCCCGGGGTCTTTGTTCTTCTCTAATGGCGCCCGGAGCCGTTCGCTCACCGCCGCGGCGGATCCTGCAGGGTTCGCCTCAGCTCCCGTTCACGGGGTGTGGTGGCTGCAATAGTTCCTTTCCACTCACAGTCCCACTTGCTGCATCGTTTGTTTTTGTTGGCCGTTTTGGTTTGTTGTTTTCCTCCTCTCTGCTGGTCGGTCGGAGAGTGCCGCCTCTGTGGGCGGGGGAGGGGAGCAGGGTTCTGCGCTTCCCTCCCTTCTAGTCCTCTTTTATGGTCACTTTCTTCTTCGGGTAATTTGCTGGAGTCGTCCGTTTATCTTCTGTGTCCCAGTTCTCACTGGGACCTGCCGCTTTTCCTCCCTATTAACTTTTTTTAATGGGAGATCTTACTCGCAGCGTCTCCTCGCCGCCATGTTGCTCCGCCCACATCAATAAATAAATCTTTAAAAAAAAAAAAAAGAAAGAAAAGGGCAAAGTGGTGCTGTGAGCAACATGTTTTTACCAAGTCTCCTGACTTGGCCTTACAGTTGCTTATATCCTAAGTTGTACTCATGTCCTTTCTTTTCTCTGAAATGTCTTTTCCTCACCTCTGCCATGAAAAATATTATCCTTCAAGATCCATTCACAACCAAAAAACATTAACATCCACTCTCACAATATATACTTCGCCCATCACCTCCTTTTCCTTCCCATATGCACCTCTTCACCCCACCACAACCACTCAATGGCCTTTTAACAGATCTTTCAACACCCTCTGCCCCCTACTCCAATTTATTCTCTATGGCTCTGTTAATCTTACACCATTCAATTATAACTATTTTTCTGTTACAAATAAAGTTTACTATCTCCTCATTATCTGCAAAGTTTGGGAAATAAATGAACCTACTGTGTCATTTAGATTTCCTTTGATTTAAAGCATTAGAACCAATTCTATCTAACTAAAGCAAAAAACAGTCTGAACTAGTGCATGAAATTGAAGCTCCAGTCATTTCCATTCTTTGCTTCTTCTCGAAATTCTCATTTTTAGAGAGTATCTGATTGAGCATATTTGGAACACTTGTCCAGAGGAACACAAGAGAGTGGCTGAAGGACCACCAACAGTTATGTCCTTAGGGGAAAGATGGTTCCTTCAAAACAGAATTGGGATGCTGTTGCCAAAGGAGAAGTGGATGTTAGGAAGAAAAACCAGAAAATGTCCCTTAAACCCAAAATATGGCCCAAATCCAGTTAAAATAAGATTGAACACAGAAAGGAATCTCGTGCTTTCCTGAAACATCCAGAGGTCACAATGAAGGAAGAGAACCAAGGAAGCACACTAGTCTCAACATACTCAGGGTTGAAGGAGGAGGGAGAAAAGTGATTTGAAGCAAATATTTTAAATGATGTTTTAAATGATTCAGAAGTCACTGTGAGTCATATGGATACATATAAACCATTTTCCTTCCTACTTTTTTTTTTTTGTCTGTGATCAACCACTTTCCACATCACTACAATGTCATTTGTAAAACACTCTATAGTATTTTTTTTTTTTTTTGAAAAAAGAGTCAACCACCATAATACAAGAACAACCAGAATTTCATTGGGGAGGAAGTTAGTAAGGCAATGGCAACTTCTGTATCTTTAGGAAGGTAACAAGTCTTCCACTTCCAAATTCAAGAAAGGTGTGATGAGCTCCCGGAGTTCCCACATTCTGCCTCGCCCAAGCATGGCAGGGAGCAAACTTTCAAAGATAAACGTAGCATCAAAAAATAATATGTAAAATGACAGGCCAGTGAAGGTGAGGACATATAACATGATGAAAATCCTCAGTGCACGTTTCCTGTAAGGCAAGAAAACATGTGTTAAGAACAGTCTGAAGAAAACTACTTTTAATTTGTGGTCCCTCCATTCACACATTCTTGTAAAGAAACTGAACTTCTTTTCACCTCTGTTGACAATTGCAAAAGGAAGAGCTTAGAGCACATGAGCACCTAAAACCAGGGCAGCCTCTGGAATTCTAAGGCACAACATCCATGAAACAGTGGGACCCTGGTTATGGTGGGGCTCTTTCCTTTCAGATGCTCTTCTCCCACTCAAGTTGACTCTTGCTATTTTTACCTAACTTGTGAAGTTTCTGATGCCTATTTGGGGGGAAATTAAAGGCACATGATTTTCCGTGGGACACAAGATGCAATAGGACAAATGGAATTCAACTCCATCACAGACTTGTCCTGGCACCAAAGTTGTCACATAAAGTAACACAAACTTTTTCAAGTTTTTGATGATCCCTCCTTCTGGGCTATACCTCTGATGTATTTTATTTATTTGCTTTTAAGTCTTGCATTATTTTCTACTTAAAAATGTAATATACAATGAGGGTAGAAGATCTGGAAAATCCAGAAGAACACACAGAAGAAAAGCAATGTCACAGATAATCCAATTACTTTGAAATAATTATCCTCTATAATACATTTCAGAACAGAAAATCTATAGTAGAGTAATCTGGGTACGGATGTGTTTCACATCTGTCATTTATAAGAAATACATATTTGGTCTTTGTCTCCTTTCTGGTACAGAGCTCCCAAAACCCTTGCAATTTCCTAGGTATCAAGAGTGGACAAACATGTTTCTTGTTTGGGAAGCAGGGAAGTCTGGAGATTGGTTCCCAGGAGACCCATCATGTGATTATAGGGTTGGACTTTCAGTCCCAACCACCAGAGCTGGGAAAGGGCCTGGAGTTTGGATCCATCACCAACTGTGCCTAAGTAATAATGGAGCCTTCATTAAAAGACAAAAAAGGGAGGGGGCTTGGAGAGCTTCCAAAACTGCAGATTCAGGGAGAGAGTTATGCCTGGAGAGGGCTTGGAGCCCTGGAGCCCTGAGGTCATTCTCCACCCACCCCCGCTCTCCTATCTCCCACATGGCTATTCCTGGGTTACATCCCTTTATAACAAGCCAACAATCTGTAAATTAAGTGTAAATTTTGTGAGTTGCTCTGAAAAATAATTGAATTCAAAGAGGTCATGGTGGGAACCTCTGAGTTGGTCAGAAATAAAGTTGTAGAAGGCTGAACCTGGACTCACTATTTGTGTCTCCAGTCAGGGGTGGATGGGTGGTGTGGGTGGGGAGCACCCCTGCAGTGCTGAGCCTCCAATCTGTGGAATTTGAGGTTTATTTTCAGGTAAGTAGTGTTCCAGGGTTCTGAAAAAGTTGACTGTAACCATGTTTGTTTGTTTTTCCCTCCCCCCTCCCCCTGCCAGGTCTCTCATTGATTATATGGGGTCTTTATTCTATCAATTTCATTGGAATTATCTTCACTTATTAATTTAATGTTTTTGAGTATTATGAACATTTTTCACACATCACATCACAAAATGATCAAGATTCCTACTTTCAAGCAGCCCATGGAGTATTAGGAGGGGACAGATTTGAAACAATTTAATCATAGTAATACACTATGGGTACAATTATTTGCAAGATATAGAGGGAGCTGAAGAGCCTGCCTGGTTTGGTGATTGTGGATGAAGAATCGAATAAGTTTTCTTAGAGGAGGGTGCTGTTTAGGGCATAGATGAAGGTGCCGCATCTCCAGGTTAGGATTTGTCATTATGCATGTGTCCAAATGTCCAAGGGAGAGGCAGCCTGCCCAAGAAGCTCTGGTTTTCAAATTTGCTTTGCAGGCATGCTGCTTTGGTGAAGGTGGCGGTGTCATCCTCTTTGTATAGTTACCTGTGTACATATTGTTACCTAAAGCACTAAGAAATATCCAGATCTGTGTAACTAATGGCATCAATCTATATCTAAAACCATAAGAAAATTCACATGACCCTAATAAACAAGCAGACTTTTTAAGAATATGCAAAGATAACTTATAAAAGAAGATAAGATACAACAAAATGTTAGTCAACCCTTAGAAAATTTCAATCTTACTCTACTCCACACACTTTGGGGCCTTTGTGAATCCCCCAGACACTTCAGACTTACCAGATTGGGGGAGGAGAGCTCTGTACTAATGGGGGTGACGGAGATGGACGAAGCAGAGCCTCCATTTTTCCCACACCCATTTCTTCAGGATTCAGAGTGTCTGTTTTCCCTTCCTGCGTAGGGTACACCCCCAACTTTGTGTTCAGCTGAGTCACATCCTTGCAAAAGTTCTGGGGGGAAAAAGCAATGAGCTATCATATTTGAAAATGTTTCAGGGTGTCTGCCAGCCTTCTTGTAGCTGAGGCAGAAGCTTTTCCCTCTTGGAAACCCACAGTGCAAATCACATGTGAGCCCTGTGCGGAGGTCACTGGCAGGTGCACACTCACTTAACAGAAAGAGACACAGCCACATAATAAGCGGAGAATTAAACACTGTTTACGTAGGATGGTGAATATTTTTGTGCTGAATTCATCTATTACATTTGCTCATCTACAAGAAACATTTACTGAGTGACTCCTACCAGGCACTAAGCTCAGATACAGTGTTAACACAATAGATGGGGAATTACAGGTGTGTTTAAGGAGCTGGGGGCCAGGCAATAAGCAGTTAAGAACATAGACATTTTATGCTGTAGATTAAGGAGGAAACAAGGTATTGAGACAGAGGTGGCTGAGGTCTGCAGGCGGGATGGTTGGGTGCCTCTGCACAGGTAACAGGTTGGTTGATTGAATCATTGTTTCATTCACCCATTCTCAATTTGCCTCAGTGTATATGATTTGTGGGAGATCAGAGATAGTCATTTTTCTTCAAGGAGAGACTAAGAGAAGTCTGGAAGAGGAGATGATGTCTAAGCTGATCCTTGAAAAATGTGCTCTGTGGAGACACAGAGGACTCGCTCCAGATGGAGAGGAGCAAGGTAGAGGCACTGAAGGCTCTAAGCACTGGGGGGTGTATAAGGATAAATGGGGGGCTTTGGTCCAAAGCAGCAGGCAAGGAGGGAAGAAGTAGGTGGCAAGACTAGCAATACACCAACCTCTAGGGAAAGAATTAACCATGATTTAAATTTAAGTCTTTTTAAAATTTTACCATTATTTGAATGTGTGTAACTTGAAATCTTACCTCTATTCTTGCAATGAGTTTCTCCTTTAGCTCATGAACTTCATTATAAGCATCTTCCTGAAAAGACACAATTTTGGATAAAATAAAAAAACCCAGTAATTGTCAGGTTTATACAATAAAATCTTGCTCATTTTGACATCACTCTGTTGCACAACGGCTGCATGGAAAGTGACTTTCACTCAACAAAATTCTTCCTGTTAGAGCAACTTCATAATGCAATTATGAGACATTGCAGAAGGAATAACCCAAAGATTGATTAGATTATTTTCAATATGTTAGAAGCATAAATTCACACAATAACAGATCATTATAAACAATAATTTCTTTCTATTCAATATTCTTTCCTTGCTCCTTAAAAACTAGCTGGAGTGGGCCTCCCTAGTGGCGCAGCGGTTGAGCACGGGGTTGCGAAGCTGCCCGCAGCCTCTGCAGTGCCAGTTCGATCCCCGGCTGCTCTCCGGCCACCGCAGGAGGGTCCCACACGGCGCGCAGACCTCTCCTGCTGCCCGCTGCTCCCCTCAGCAATGTACTTCGGTCCTTCTGCCTGCTCTGCTCCCTGCTCTGGCTCTGGTGAATTCTCTCACCCTCCCGCGCTTCTGACTATACCCAGTGCTTGTATAAATAAATAAATAAATAAACAAAAAAATGAAAAAAAAAAACTAGCTGGAGAAATATAATATGTTTATGGGGAAAAAAATTGTACCTCTGTTAAATATCTTAAAATTGAGAGTCTATAAATGTAAGCTCTCATTCTATTAGTCAGAATATCCAGGCCTATCTCTTAACAAAAGAGCTGTCCACAAAGAGTCTGGCTTCCCTTTTCTTCCCAGGCCTCCTTAAGGTCCCTAGACAGAAAGAACAGATGGTTTGCTTACTTTCTATCAGTAAGATCAAGACACAGGCTGAAAGCAAACCATCCTCTCTTAGGACATGAATGCCAGTTGCACATATGTCAGGAGTAAATAATGTTTTGAAAGGTTTTTAATTAATCATCCCATAATGGACTTACAGGATACCCTGAAAATCAGAGCCACTGCAGGAAGGACCCTGCTCTGAGATTTAAGAAAGATGCATTGTTGAGATGCCATGTCTGGGAACTGATTCTTTTTTTTTTTTAGCCTGCATATCTTCTGTTTTATTTTTTTTTAATTTTTAAATTTTTTTATACCATTGTTTATTTTTAAACAATATTTGCTTCCCCCATCCCCTCAGGTGTAGTCCCCATAGAATTTCCTTCCCCAGTAACTGCAAAGGCAAGCAAAGATAGATACCTGAGGCATACTTTGCAATGACAAATGTTGATTATAAAATCCCAACTATCCAACAAAATTAATTTCATCTATCTGAAAATTAGATCCCTCATCATGTAAACATTGAAAAGGGAAAGTTAAAATGACATCACTTGGCATCATAAATTGTTAAGGAAAAAAAATGAGTGAAAAAAGCAAGTCATGAAACAATCTGTATAATATAATCTTATTAAGTCAGTAACAATAATATGTAAATATACGTATAGAAAATGTTGGAAGAATGAAAGTATAAGAAAATGCCCATTGTGCTTATCTATGAGGGGGTAGGTTTTTTCTTTATTTTTAAATATGAAATAGTTCTCTTATGTTGCAATGATTAAATTAAGCATGCATTACTTTTGTTTAAAGAAAAATATACATGTGTATTTTTTTCTTTTTATATTATTTTTATTAATATTAGTGTTTCTGATCCATGAATACAGGATATCTTTCCATTTATTTGTCTTACTCGGTTTCTTTTATCAGTGTTTTATAATTTTCGGGAAATGCTTTATCAACCAAAAAAAAAAGCATTTCCTGTTTTTTAAATTTTTAAAGATTGATTGATTGATTGATTTATACAAGCACTGGGTACAGTCAGAAGTGCGGGAGGGTGAGAGGATTCACCAGAGCCAGAGTGGGGAACAGAACAGGCAGAAGGACCAAAGTACACTTCTGAGGAGAGCAGTGGGCACGGCAGGAGAGGACTGCGCGCCATGTGGGACCCTCACCAGCGGTCGGGGATTGAACTGGAGCTGCAGAGGCTGCGGCAGCTTCACAACCCAGCGCTCAACTGCCGTGCCACCAAGGGAGGCCCTGTTTTTTTAATTTTTAATGGGAGAGCAAGAGCAAAGGTAATGGTTTACAGCACTGTATATGTGTTAGAAATACAGGTTCATAATTCTACAAATGTATGGTATCACGTCACATTCACCACCAAACCCCCCATAATCCTCCACCAAAGTCCACTGAGCAAGAATGATTCTTTTCATCTTGAAATTTACTTTATCTTTCCAAGTCATAGTTTTCTCTTTTGAAAATGATGGTAGAGACTAAATAACAGTAAGTTCCCTTCCATGTCTAAAATTCAAGTTTATTTTTCATTGAATTTTCGATTCCAGTCATGAAAATTCTGCAAGTCTGAGATTTCATTGAAGAACTGCTTTTCTTTGTTCCTATAAAGCTACTTTATCCTTACCTGGACAGATTCACAATCGATTTCTCCTAATTGCTTTTTAATATCCACGATCTTCTCCTTTAAAACAAAAGGAAAATACAAGTTGAAATGAATGATGTGTGGAATTGGAGAAACTAAACATAATAATTTTTAGGAGAAAATTTACCCATCATCAAAAAATCTCAGATACAATAGAAGCTGGTTTTTTTTTCTCCAAACTGTTCTGGATGCTGATCTCCAAAGTCAACATTAAATCAAATCAAATCAGTATTATTGGCCACACCCTATGTTAAGGGCCATTATGCTGTTTGGACACAGGCAATAAGAGTGTTTGCCCTCGACAGCCTATAAAGAATGTCTAGTCTATACCTTTCTTTTACCCAGTTTATTCATCACCAGCCGGTACACTGTGTATTTCAGTTGTTTAGAAAGGAGTTGTGATAGGATCATCTTATTTTATTAGGTTCCCTAATTTATTCATGTGATAGATATCTTTACACAAAACTTATCAAAGAGAATTGTATTCAAAGTGCTGAGATAGGAGTCAGTCTCAGAGTGAAAGTCTAGAAGCACAGGTGGAGATTTCAGAAAGCTTTGTGACTTGCCCAAGGCCACCTTCAGGTCCTTTCTATAGCTGACAGGTTTTTTAAACTTGTTTGTTTCTTGTGTGTGCGTACACGCAAGCGCTTTAGAAATAATTCTATCAATTTTTCTCTTCTTTTCATGCCTTTCTGAGTCATTTCATTCCTTCCTGAGAAATAAATGCTCCAAAACACATATTATTTTAACTTAATTAACTCATTTCTCCTTTAGTTCTCTCACACTGTTTGCTGTTCTTATATCTCTTTTTCAAGATCTTTAGTTTCCTCTTCATCAGAGTAAACCCACAACATTCCTACAGCTTTTGTTTCTGTAGTGATGGTATTTAAAGCATGTTATCATTTGTATCACTGCATTTGTTCTAACACAGCCTTTCCCATCAACCTTCAGACCTATGGAGCAGAGCTTAGGGATTAGAAACAGACTATTTTAGAATCTTTACTTCAAAGTCCTGAAGTTCTAGTAGAACAGAAAAACTACCAGTTGGTCTTAAGTCTGCTTCTTATCCAGTGCAGATCAAGGCAGTGCAGATCACTGCCTTTCCCTTCTTACAGTCTCTTTTTAAAGGGGGAAATTAAACTTTTCTCTGAAGAGTGTCTCTAAGAAGTGCAAGAACATAGAACGACAGGAAAACTGGAGCCCGTGCAATCCCAAACAAGAACTTCTTGGGAGGGCTTCAAAGAAAGTCAAATATCTCTCAGAAGCAGGGCTTCACATGCGTTTACCCACTGGCTGTCTTCTGTGTTCTGTTAGGTGCTGAGGAGCAAAGAGTAAGAACAGAGGGTCATTCCCTTCCACTGGCATCAAGATATAAACCTATCAGATTGGCCTGACCAAGTGTCTAGTTAGAATAGAAAGGTCTAGACTTTTTGTATCATCACTAAACACAAGTCAGTGGCCACCAGGGAGATTGTTCCTAGTGACAGAAGGTAAGTGTTAATTCTTGTTAAGTCTGACCTGTCCATCAACAGGAAGGGTGGGAAGAGATGGCAGGGTTCCCACAACCTCCCAGATTGTCCAAGCCCTTGCTTACCTCGATGTTTGTCCACTGGTCAGGGTCGAGGTCCCCATGTAACTCTAGCTTTTCAATTTGGCCCTCCAGGGACATCACTTCCTGTAATAAGCTGCAAACAAACCAGGAAATGAACTAAGTCCTGTGGGTTAAGAAAAAAATCACCCAGTGGACAATCTTTTTTGATCTTTCAGGGATGAAATCTTATTCTCATGTAAGAAGATACCTGGGTAGTGATTGTATTGGGATGTGAAGTTATAAATGCAATCTAAGAAAGTAAAAAACCACTCTAAATAACCTAGGTGATAGGAAAGAGATAAAGGGACTAATGGATACAAGGGCTGGAGATTTAAATGATTAAAATAGAAGGTTAGGTAAATTTTTATGTAAAAACAAATTTTCAACCTTGAAAAATCTAAGCCTAGGCAAAGAATTCTTTGGGTTGGCAGTAACAGCACATCCTATAGGAAGGAAAATGGATGAATTGGAGCTCATCAAAATTTAAAACTTATGCTTGGCCAAAGACCCTGGTTAGATTTGCTTATGACATATCTGGCAAAGGCTTTGTATCTAGAATATATAAAAACCTCCCAAAACTCAGAATTAATAAAAGCAAACTATTCAGTTAGTAAATGAACAAAAGACACATATAGACTTTCCCTGAGAGATGCTTGGATGGTAGACACGTGAATGTTCAGCGCAGTCATCATCAGAGAAATGCAAACTCAGACCATGGGAAGGGTCCATGAGTCACAGAATTGCCAGCAGCATATGGCAGAAAAAGTCAAGATGGCTTCCTCTGGCCTATACAGAGTCCAGCGTGGGCAAGAACACAAGTGCATCTCACATGCTTTATACCGAGTAAAGGGAGGTGTCCCCACAGGCAGTTCACAGTATGATTCCACTCCTGCCACATTCTGGAAAAGGCAAACTGTTGGGATAGAGATCGTGGCCACTGGCAGCTTGGCGGGGAGAGTGATTAGCTACTTGGGAAGTGATGAAAGTGTGTGTGTCTCTTCTCTATGGTGTCTACACAGCTGTCGGTCCTTTTCAAAAACTCACGAATCTGTACATAATTTTACTGTGTATAAACTACACCTTAATTGTTTTAATGGAAAGAAAATTTCCATTAATACATGGGTTTGAATTCATAAAAAGTCACAGAATTTGTTTTTAAAATTATTATTAATGCTTTGGAAGAAGAAAAAGGCCGATTTGGATAGGGTTAGAAAGGGAGAAACCCACCATGAGAACATGTGTACATGAAAAGTCTGGTGATAAACTGAACATAAAGATGTTGAGATAAAAGTGGAGACAGATTATATCTAGAGGAGCTTGGAATTGAGTAAGAAAGCTTGGAAAACTGTAAGAATTGATGTGTAAGAACAGCTTCCATTTATTAATTGTCCGTCATACAGCAGCGCTCCCTTAATTCTTTACATATGACATTTCATGTCATACCCACAATAGCCCAGTGACATGGCTGGCATTAGTCCCGTTTTATAGAAGAGAAAGTCAAGACATAAAAAAGCTTGATTCACTTATCCATGTCAATGTCAAGGGTGACACTTGGTACCTCTGACCCCAGAGCCCAGTGACTACAAAAATACCAATTAATTTTGTCTTTTCTATTTCATCTTGAAATTTTCCACTTCAAATCAGAGAAGCATTACAGATATCTTTTCTGATTTGTTTTCTTGTCATACTGGTAGGAGCCCTTTGGAAAATACTGGACAAAGCTCAAGAGTCCAGGGACCTGAAGCCCTCCCTTTAATAACTACTAATATAGTTTCAAAAGGAGAACTTCTGAGGAATCCTTCCTGTGAGAGAAGAGAGTGCCAAGACCCAGGCAGCCTTGAGTTTTTGTTACACTGACTTCTAATCACCAGATTTTTACTTCTGATTCCGTGTTAAATCAGGAGTTCTGAAGTTTCTGGAGCTGTGAATTTGTCACTACTATCTGACCCGCCCACCCTCCAATTACCTCTTCACTGTGTTTTCTGTTAGGTCTATGTTTTGTATAATACTGTTAATTTTCTCCAGCCAGTCTTTGTCATCAGCCCCGAGCTCTTTCTCTTGCTTTCCCATGTGTACATTCCAGTGGTTTAGCTGGAAGAACATGTTCTGACCCCTGTAGAACAATTAGCGTCATCAGTTTTAAGGTAGAAAGTGGAAAACATCTCACATAACCTGAAGCCCTCTTCCTTCAAATGGCAGGTGGCCTACTTGTTTATTTTCTGTCACTAAAATGAGCAAGGCAGGCACTTAGGCTTCAAGAAAAAGATTTCGGGCATTTATTTGATAGCCACTTTAACAGAACTTTCTATAGGTTGAGAAAATAAAGCACACTTTATAATTAGGAAACTAATACATTGTTATACTTTTTATTTCCCAGCATGGAATGAATGTTCCGTATTGATTTTAGGATATTGACTGCATCTTGGTAGGAGAGGAAAGGTTTATAAGAAGGAAAAGGCCCATCAGGGCTTATAATTTTCAGATCAAGAAAATAATCTGAGAGTGAAAATGTATGTATTAATTCCAGGCTGCAAAGAAAAGTTTGCAAAGAGAATCCCAGTTCTCTGCCTCTTTCCCCAGAAATGTCCTCACTCTGCATTCTTGCTGGGACATGCAGGGAATTCCTTGTGCACACAAGTGATTTATGGTTAAAGACATGATGAATTTTAAATCTTATAAGCTTCCCTTAACTCCTCTGCTAAATTTCACTTTCCCTTGCACAAGACATTAATAATGTTCCCCTTTGCATGTAATAAGGCTTACCTTTTAGGGATGTTCTCAGAAAATTTCAAAGAAGGATCCTCAGGTTGAAGGTGATATGTTTCTTGCTCATCCTGTTCCCTCTGCAGGTGCTGGTCATGCTCAGCTTCCAGCTCCAACATATCCTGATAAATAGGATGAAAGCGCAGAGCAGAAGGTAAGGGTTTTCCCAAGAGGCCCCCGTCAAGCTGGAGCCTTCTTACACACTGGGAAGGTGAGCAAATGCCCTTCTGCTACTTTTAGGGAGGAAGGCTCTGCGGGCCCTCGTGGGATCCCTGAGTCCTCCTGCAGAGCTCTTCCAGTGCTGAGAGGGGATAGAGCCCTAGCTGATCATGGGCTCCAGCTCTCTTCTCAGAAAGATGACTGTTCTGCTCTGTTCTAAAAATCAGTATCATGAAAAAAAAAAAGGGAGGTTGAACTGTTTTGTATTAAGAGAGTGTAAAGAGATAGAATACCCAATGCACTGCAAATAGATCTTGCTTGTTTGGGTGCTAGTTAAGAAAAATATGGTGCATTTGTGACAATGTGGATAGAACTGGAAGGGCTGATGCTGAGGAGCATAAGCCAGAGGAGCAATTCTCCTGCCTGCCTGTGACTATTCAGATGTTTCTTTTTACAAACGTTTTCCCTTTGCAAAGCAACCGTGGCAGCTCTCCTGCCCACCTGTGCCCGTGCAGGTGCCTCTCTTCTTTCCTTTTTCCTTTTCTTAATAAACCTGTCCTTTTACAATACAACTCAATCATTTAATCAAAAAGCTAGAGGGAGAAAGACAAATATCAGATAATTTCATTCATATGTGGAATATAGAGCAATAACAAAGGAACTGAAAACCTTAACTAAAACAAAACTTAGAAATCTGACTGCTGAATTGAGATGACTAGAGGGGGAGGGGTGGGGTGCAGACAAAGTGGGGAGGACCCACTGGACTTTGGTGGAGTTCTCTGGCTGGTGCTCTGGTGGAGGGTGTGTACTGATGATGTGCATCTGGCCAGGTATGAACCTGCCCCTGATCATACATGGCGCTGTAAATCAAAAGAAAGAAAAATATGACTGCCACAGATACGTGGGGGACAGTTGAGAGCTTTAGAATATTGAGAGAAGGGAGGGTATGAGATTGTGCTGTGGGACTGGTGTACCTAGTGTGATAGTGGTATTCTGATCACGTAGAAGAAAAGCTTTTCAGAGATGCTGCTATCAAAGCAAGCAGGAATGAAGCACCATGTATTCTACTGGGGGCAAATTTACATATGGTGATTTGCTCTAAGGCGGAAACTGTCATTTACCTCACAAATCCCAAGGACAAAGGGAACAGAGCAGGCACTTTTCCTTTTCTTTTCTTTTTTTCTTTTTTGCACAGCAAGACTAGTAAGTCCCGTGCATGACAACAGCCAAACAGCCCGTGGCTCTGGTTTCAGTCTGCCCTCCCTGCTCTTATTATGAGGAAGCCCTGACACATGTTCTCATGCTTGAGATTCACTGTGGGAAGCTCCTCTCATCACCCACTGAGACGTGTAGGTTTCTCCCTTACCTGTTTCTTAGTCTCCACCTCGTGAAGGAGTTTCATCTGAGGGTTTCCAGAGCCAATGGCCTCCTCATCATCTGATCTTTCCAAGGTGTGGTCCATGTTGGTGATTTTCCTTAGCAAACAGCAAGTCATACAATCAAAACAGATGTGGTCATGGTGCCTGAAGTCTATGGTTTATGTACCCTGGACATTTCAGGAGGGAGCACCCTGGGGTGGTTCCTGGTGCGAAGGAGCACCTGTGGTACTGATTTCCTTCCATGGAAATAATGTCCACCATGGGGTGTGAGACAGACAGGGATCCAGAAGCTGGACAATTATGCGCTGACTGCATCAATAAATGATTGAACAGCCAGATTCCAAATTCCACAGTCACTGCAGCTGCATGTGTGTGTAAAAAAAACAAACAATAAATATCCTTTTTTATAAAGTGAATCTACCAAGTATCCTAAGATAGGAAAGACTATGGAGAAAGGAGTATAAGTCTACTGTGACTTTGTGATCTCTAGCTCACATCTTTCCACTCGATGTTTACTTCTTTCTCCTTCTAGAAATTCTATGCATAACTAAGTAGTTATGTTTTGTTAATATAGATGCCTTTTCAAATATAAATGAGACAGTATTGCACATGCTATTCTGCACGTATGTCTCTTTTTAATGTTCTGTCTTAGAGTGCATTTCATAACAGCATATAAAGAGCTGCTTCTTTTTAAAAATGGCTTTATGGTATTATGAATCATGGAAATATATAGTAAGAACTGCTCATCAGTTGTTCATTAATGAATATGTAGATTGCTTTCAATCAATCGCTACCACAAACAATGCTGTCATGAATACCCTCTATCATTGTGATTATGTGTTAATACACATAAGCACAGCCTTAAGGTGGACAGTCTTAAATGTGGAATTGCTAAGCCAACAGGCATATTTTAAATTTTGATAGAATTGGCCACATTTTGTTTAAAAGAGGTTGAACGCATCTACAACTCTAGCAAAAATGAGAGTGCTTGTTTTCCCTCTCCATTTGTAATAAACGGATTATTAATAATCCATCTAATAAGTGGATTATTAAAACTTTTTATTTTTGCTAATGTGGTTTGTTTAAAATGGTATCTCACTGTACTTTTAAACTCTTTATAAGTGAGGTTGAGCATCTTTGCCTGTATGCATAAAACTGAGTAATATTTTCTTTTCTATGATAATTTTCTTTGCCCATTCCTTATTGGACTATTGTTTGGGTGAATTGGGTTGATGTGAATATACATGTACATATGTACACACACACACAGGTGCACACACACATCTAAATGAATCACAGTGAATTTGTTTTAGATGTCTACGGGCACAAGTTACCAGTCTGTGGCCCTTGACCCCTGAAGTAGGGACCATTCTACACCTACACAAAGAGAACAGTGTCCTGGAATCCACATATATTTCTCTAGGCTGAATAAATATTGACTACTTAAGAAAATACTGCCAAAATTTCTCTCTCTATATATATACATGTACTTCTGTTATGCATAGATTATAAATGCTCTTAAAAACAGCCTTGATATCATAATAGGTTTTTGACATATGAGGGGTTTTAGAAAATCCTATACTTTAAAATATTATTTCCTATTAAAAGTGGTTATTAATTGGATTTTATTAGTATGCCTTTTATCATGTATTAACAAATGCACATGTGCGCTTATATGGATATTTGTACTCCCTCTACTCTAAAAAGTACTTTACATGACTTCTACCTTTAGCAGGAAAGATAATAACGCACAAAACAATCTATGTACTTTCATAAATTGAGACGAGGGTCTTGGCCATTCCTACTTGACAGATGTCTGCCTAGCTTATGCTTCGAGGTCCCTTTAGTGTGTCCTTGAAGCTCCCACAATAAATATTCATGAGACCACAGTTAGTTAGAAGAACTGTGGAAAAGAATGTCAACCCAACCTTGGACTTGGAAATCTCGTCATTTGCATTCCACCAGCAGCAGGACCCAGACAGAGCCCCAGTAGTTCAGCCCCACTTACTTCTGCATTCTGCTTTCAGCACCCACATTCTGAAGAAAGTCATTGTTTTCCTTGACCCACTGATGTTCCTTCCCAACTGTCTTCATCTGCAGAGATATCTTGTCAGTTAGATTCATGAGGGCCATGGCCCCAGCTCTGCAGGAGATGGTGATGACAAGAAGGGGTTCATGGCAGGATGGGCAACGACATCCCTATGCTGACACGCTGATTTCAAGGACTGTGGCTTTAAACCCTTCTTCATCCCAAACTGGCCCTCAATAGTAAGGAACCCTAAATTGAGCTCTTAGTTTTCTCTGCTTAAATATATACAAAAGTCCTGTGTCTTGAGAGGGACTTGTCCCTCAGGATTTCTCTGGCTAACATGAAGGTTGCATGAAACTGAAAATATAGACTTTGAGTCCTTGGATGGGAATATTATTCAGCAATACAAAATAGCTAGGGTAGGGGGCATGGGAAACTTCCTTAAAAAAAAAAAAAAAAGATTTATTATTTCTGCATACAAGACCTGAGGTATAGGCCAGAGGTGTGCGGGCAGGGGTGAGAGGACCCACCAGAGACAGAGCTGGGAGCAGAACAGGCAGATCTACTGAAATACACTGCTGAGGGCAGCAGCAGGTGGGACAGCAGAGGTTTTGCACCATGTGGGTAGCTCCCTGGCCAGGGATCGAACTCGTGCTGCAGTGGCTGCAGATAGCTTCTTGGTGCTGAGATTTAACCCTTGTACCACCAGAGAGGCCCCTGAGAACCTTTGTTTTGGTAACCTCTTTCTGATTATATACATATATATCATAATAATAGAGGAGGAGAAAGAACAAAATAAAAGTCACTGATAGCCTAGGAATAACTGGAGATACCTCAGAGATGTCCAGACACAGCCCCTCTCAATATATTGGTTTCTTTCTTTCCATTCACTCATTTGATATTTGTTTTATTCTTTTCCTAATTTTAAAAGTTAGGTTTGTTCTAATTTTCCACAATTATAAAAATATAGTCATGAATATCCTTGTTAGTAGTTTTCAGTGCATCTCTATTATTTCCCTAGAATTGGAATTAACAATACAGAAATTTTTAAGGACTTAGAGAAATATCCCCCAATTACTTTCCAAAAGCTTCAACCAGTAGACACCACCACCAGCTGTGCCTGAGAATAGGATCCTTTTTCATCCTAGCCTGACAGGTGAGTGTGGGCTGGCAGCAGAGAGGGGAATTACTGGCAGCCAAAGTTGTGGGAAAATAAAGATGAGAGGAATGGGAAGCAGGCAGAGAGGGGAGAGTCAGGCTCTAGGAAGCTCATCTGCAAAACTATGAGACAGAGTGCATATGGAGCCTATGTCCCGCTTACCAGGGAACTCAGCATCCCAGGAGGAAACCCTCTTTCTGTCTAGGTGAGTGACAATTGGTAAATAGACCTTGAACTGGAGAGTGTCCTGGTCCCCAGGTCTCTGAGGGACAGAATCCCAGAGATGTAGCAGGGTTGAAGACTGACAGGAAAGGTAGAGTGATGGTGAGTCTCCTGGAAGGCTGACTGATGGTCGGGTTAGGACTAAGGGGAAGGAGGAGAGAGACACTGGTAGCCTCAGAGGTCTTGGAACTCTGCAGCCCACCAGGGCCAGGTCCCTCATCTAGGTTCTACATGGAGCTTTAGCCTTAACCTACATGTAGATACGTGGCAGATGCGGTGCTAGTGGGCCCCCAGGGAGAAAGAAGCAACAGGAAAAGGCAGAACCTTTGACTGGCAACTCCATCTTCTCGACTCAGATGGAATGAGGAAGAATAAAGCTTTGAGCCCTTCCAGGAAGGACACTGTAACCCACCCAGGCCATCAGTCCTATGCAGACAGATTCATCTGTTTCCTGAAGATGTTAGGCATTGCTGACAACATCCCAGGCTCCGAAAGATGAATGGACACTGACATCTGCCTGGTTTAGTGCCTTTTTTCCTGTCCAAAAATGAGACTATGGAAAACAAGGAAGATTTCCTTATTTTGGCAACTGATGTCCCAATGGCTTGCACTGAGCACTACTGATGCTATTAGGACTGTGGGAATAAACCCAGTAACTCTTATTGTGCTTGACACAGTGTCAGATACAAACACTCAGCAATGTTATCTATCAAAATAAAACCAGTGGAAATGAGAGCTACCAGTAAGGTTGCTTTAACTTCATAGAAGTGATGAAGATGAGAAGGAGGAAGATGATGGTGAAAGTGATGATGGTGATGATGATGGCGATGGGGGTGATGATGGTGATGATGATGGGGGTGATGATGGTGGTGTTGGTGGTGATGGTGGTGGTGGTGATGGTGATCGTGGTGGTGGTAACAACAACAATAATGATGGTGATGCTTACACATGTCTAGTACCTTCAGTTTATAAAGCACTTCCACTGAGTCATTTCTCCTGACCCTCACATCCACCCCGTTTGGTCAGCCAACTCAGGCAGATCTTATTTTCCCTATTGTTGTAAAAACAGACGTTGAGACTCAGAAATCATCCGTGATTTTGTTGCCAGAAAGAGGTAGAATCAGGTTTGAAACCTCAAATTCTGGCTACAAGTTCTGCCATCATCCTACTATATATCACTTTGATGCCTGATATGTTGGAATGGATTGGTTAGTGGCCTTTTTACCTCAAAACCCAGCTATCTTTTGGAGCTAACGTCTGACTAATTGGGTAGGTCCATGCCACTCAGAGGATGGCCCACAGGGCTCAGCAGCAGCTTCGCCGGGCTTTCTGAATGGGTAGGCTCCCTCACCCAGCTCCACCCCTCACTCAGCATCTTCTTGTCCATAAGACCCCCCAGGATTCACAGGCATATTAACATTCAGTAGGACTTGAACTCAAGACCTAAGCTCATACCCCTCTTCTCCCTACACCCTCTCCCTTCCTTCCTCTATGTTTACATCACTGGCCTCTGGGACTGTTTGGAACAAATGGGATGGATCTTTCCTCCTTCCTCCACCTCATCAGAACCTTGAATATCGTGTTTGGAGAAGCATCAGTCAACATCAGTTCAAAGACAGTTGATGAACTCCAGCATTTCGAAGAAGTTTCTCCAGGACAGATCTCCCTCATGTTGTACCTGGTGGCTGGACCAGTTACTAAAACACGATTCCCATAGTTGGGAATTTGACGTCACTCTAGGTGCCTGGTAAGGTTATGATAAGAGGGAACAACAGTGAAATAACACATACCTCGTGATATCCTTGCCCCTCCCGACTCGGAAATCACAAAACCTCCTAATTCAGTGGGGTAGACTAGCAACAGGCAAGCTTCCCTGGCAAGTTGTGGTGAAGCCAGAGCCTCCTTCCCCTGGCGCCAGAGGCACAGAGCAGGCCATCGGTGGGTGCTGTGCACCTCGGCAGGGAAGTTTGCAGTTGGTCTTGCCTCTCTGACATTCCACTCAGAACACCTTCAACCCCTCCTGCAAGATTCCGGGGATGTAGCGCTCATCTGCCTCTCTCCTAATGTACATCTCAGCTTGTCTCAGCTTCCTTGTTTCTCTGGAAATGAAATCCTCCTGCTCCAGCCCTCTGTCCATCTCTCTCCTAACTTTCTCCACACCTGCTCCTCAGGCAAGATCCAAGCCCTTCGCAATGGAGGCCACTTCTCCCACGCCTTCCTACACAGCAAGAACAGGAGGCAGGGCCTCCCTGGTGGTGCAGGGGTTAAAGATAGAGCTATCAAGCTTTCGCCAGTCACTGTAGCACGAGTTCCATCCCCAGCAGCCTGGGAGCTACCCACAGGGTGCAGCAGACCTCTCCTGTCTCGCCTGCTGTTCCCCTCAGCAGTGTGTTTCAGTGGATCTGCCTGTTCTGTTCCCCACTCTGTCTCTGGTGAATTCTCTCACCCCCTGCACCTCTGGCTTACCCCCCAGTTCTTGTATGCATAAATAAATAAATCTTAAAAAAAAAAAAAAAAGAACAGGAGGCACTTGATCTGCACACCTGGGCTGCTCCTGCCCTGGGCCTCTGCCACCTCACTGCAAGCTCCATTACCACTTACCCCTCCACAGCACGTGTCCATGTGACCAGTGCCACAGTCACATTTCCCTCCGTGCCTCAAGGTCCCGCTCAAGAACCTCAGCCCTACAATCCCAGCCCCTCAATGCTCAAGATTTTCCTCTTCAGCTACCAAAGTTACCAGGCAGCAAGGGACAGCATGGTTTTTGCAGGCCTGCACTTTAGAGTGAGGTCAGTGCTTGAAAGCTGCTATTACCGTATTAGCATTTTGGTTCCAAGCCAAAGTTGAATTTCTTTGTCTGAAAACTGGGTTGGCTAACAGCTGGCTAATCAGTTTGTTGAAAAGATTAAGGAGATAAGTGAGGAGGGAGCTTAGGTGGAACTGGGCAGGGACAGCTGCTAGATGCTGCTCCCTGAGGACAGGCCTGCTTGCACACATGCTGGCTGCTGTGCCCCAGCACGAGAATGGCTTGCATATAGTACGTGCTCAAAAAGCTTTTGTCAAAGGAATGGGGTGAACACATAGGCAGACAGTAGTCATGGTTTCGATGGCGATGATCTAGGGCTCTCCAGGACCCGGAGCATTTTCTCAGCTAAAAGCTCAAACTCAGGTATCTCACTTTTCTCCCCTGGGCCCCATATACCTCCATCCAACTTAGGAACCCTGACTCCACCACCTGTCACCTCCCACGGTCCTGTTGGGGAGCCTGCAGCCCTGGGTCCCTGCCTTAGCACAACGATGCTCCCTGCTGTGGTTGTTCCAGATGACCTCAATTTCCCTGAAGAAAAATCACCAGATCTTATAAGAGATTCCACACATTTTTATATCAATAATAGGAACAGCAGCAGCAGCAACAACAATAAAAGTACTTGCTAGTGTGCCAGGTGCTCTTCTTAGTGATTTACATATGTTAACTAATTCCACCACTGCAGGTTAAATGAAAATTATCAGGATTTTCCACCCTCCCCCCATTAGCATTAATGATGGATCCCTGCGGTCTTACATTCATGCCTGATGGCAGACACCTGGAGTTGGGTGTGGGCATGCATAGGACACCTGGGCTGAGACTGGGCTTATAAGGGCAGCATCATGGGGATATCAGTAGGAGAACAAGAACGAGAACAAGAGCAGAACCAGCAGAGCAGCAAAGGAGAAGTAGAGACCATGAGAGAACACCAGGGAGCCCAGAAAGAGTGAAGACTCGCCGGGATCTGGGAGGCCTGCCAGCCTCCCGGCCCCCCACCCACTGCCTGCCGTCTACCTGATTACTGCACTACATATAGTGTAAAAAGCGCTCAATAAAAGCCTAAAAAGCCACCGAGGGCTCCAGAACTCTCCTTTACCCATCTGCCTGGATCATAGAGAACCAGCTCTGTGCCCTGCTGGCACTACAACCACCTCTGAAAAGGGAGGACTCTGGAGGTCTAACCTGGACCTGGTTAATCTGGCCCCAGCCACCAACTGGTTAAGCTCCACCATATCTTTAGCTTGTTCACCGTGGCTTCTCAAGATCATTCAGCAAAACTTAATGCCACAAGCAGAAGGGCCCCCACAGCTGTCATCTCTCAGTAGCTTCCTCACTCTGCCCTCTGCCCACCAATGCCACCAACCCTCCCCCCATCCTGTAAGCAGTAACCTGGGCTCTGCATTACCTGCTGATCTGGCTCTGAATGGGACTCTTCTCCATCCAGAATATTCCTTTGTGTTCTTCCCCTTCTCGCTCAGAGATAGTGCGGCCCATGCTTTCCTCAAGTTCCTTCATCCAGACCTCATTCCTTTTGGGAGTGATTGTCCATGAATTATCAATTCTCTTTGCGATTTCATAACCACTTTCTGAGCTGCTCTTCTGCCAGCCCACCGGGCTCACTGTTTCCTTGAGGAAAGACCTACTAACCCTTCTTCTGTTGTCAAACTGGTCTCTGTGCTGGTGCTTTGCCTTGTGTCCAAACTGCTCCTGTTTCCTCCTAGGAAAAAAAAAATCCTTCCCTTTTTCACTTTTAGCATCTGTCTCCATCCTCATAGTAAGTGTCTCAACGTTGCAGAGACTGGAGTTGCCATCTCCAGTGCTCATTACACATTCTGGTCTTTAATGCTTCGAATGTGGCTTGTTGATGGCCAGGTTTTTGCTTGTTTTTGTATTTCCAAGGCCTTTCACAATCGCGTTGCTTTGGTGGGTTGGAAATGGCCCCTTGGTTTCTCGTACTTTTTAGGCCCCAGAGAGTTTTTTGTGCTCCTTGGACTACCCTTTGGGAATCCCATTTTAAAGATTATAGATAATGTAAGTGAAGCTGGGGTGCTCAGGCAGCTCCGGCAGATGGTGGCAGCACCGAACCTAGGCCCTCCCACCATTGTTGCATCTTGGATTTCACGCCCCTGGCAGCTTTCCAAAAACACTTCTCGTCCAGCGTCATAAACTCTAGGTAATGGGAAATAGATGCCCCCTACCCAGGCCTGTGGGTCTCACCATAGCATCTGTCTTACCCCACTGGGCATTCTGCTTGTGACCTGGCTTGTCCTACCTACCGGTCACTGGGACACCCCAACCCCAGCAGGTCCTGAGACTGGACACCCAGTGGCAATTTTGAACCCTGAATATATTGGCAGAAGGTCCCAATGCGGACCAGGGACTTCAGGAATTACACCTCCCAGAAAGGAACAAAGATGTACAATTCTATTCTCAAAGGAATCACAGCCTTCCAATGAGCCACTTTCCTTGGAGGGTATTCATTGGTAAATATATATAATCAAAGTAACAATGCACTAAAACATTTTTGTGAACCCAGTAGTTAGAAAAACTAATCTGTTTTGATTACTTCTCCTTTCAAAGTTTGCCAGGACGGAGGGATGTCTGCATGTCACTTAATGTCTCTGGGATCTGCCTTTTCTCAACAACAAACACAGGAACCCTGTCTACCTCGTGGGCGTCTTGTAAATAATAGGAAGTGGAATCATCACACGTAAAGCTCTCAGTCCTGTCCCTGGAAAAAGGCAGGCCTCAAAAAGAGAAGTGGCAGCCCAGAAACCTTGGGTGGTAAGGCCTACAGCCCCAGGATATGGAAAAGATGATTAACTCGACACCTGGAAAGCCCCTGCCTTCCAGCCCTCTAGTAAAAGGGCAACGTGCTGTCTGACAGGATATTGAGCTGAAAGAATGAAAAAGAAATTGAAAAAGGGAGGAGGCTGTGTTGTGTCCTGTGATCTTAAGGAAAGATCTTGGAACTGAAACTCTAAACAATATATGACTGACGTCAGAGAGTCTGAACTGTAGAAATTGCTACAGGGTGCATGGAGTGGGAACGGTGAGGGACGCAGGGTGTACAGCTTCACAGAGATTGTGGAATAAAGCATCAAGGGGACCTCTCTTTATGCGGTGGTAATAGCATCCTCGTCTGTTATCAAATATTCATCATCTGCTTATGGAATCTAGGGCACTGTGCTAAATAAGGCAGGACATAAAAGGATGCCCAGGACAGTCTTGACCTCCAGGTTAGAAAAAGAGAAATAATATCAACAGTCATTGTTGTTTGAGTGACTGATGTGTGGCCCGTGGAGCAAACATTGTAGATCAGCCGAGCACAGGGGTCAGGCAAGGACCCTCATGGGGGCAGGATGGCCTTTCTAACACTTTTAAAGTGTTTTCCACCATAAGTGCAAGCAGCCTCAACTATTGTTTGGGAAAATGCAGAAAGGGGAAGGAAGTTGTCAGGGGAAATTGTCTAAAATGCACAGGTAAGGAACTCCGGTTTAAATGGAATTTGATGAAGAGAGAGTTTTTCTGACAGATTTCATTGTGTTTTCTTCCTTTGTTATTTAATTGCTGTGAAGGCAATAAAGAAAGAAATTTATATGAAGACAGGTTTAGATCCATGTTTATATTTTTTCTGTACATAGAGAATTTGCACAGTGTTCACCTAAAGGTTAAACATAAATATTTGGGAAAGTTTTGTGATTTTTCTATATAGTGACGATTTCAGGAAGGAAGAAAAGGAGAGAGGCAGGAAGTCAGGCAAGCTTGGGTTAGGGTCAGGCTGGGGCTTCTTGTAAGGGCACAACATTTTCCAGTCTGCACTTTGGGAACATGGCAATTTCAGGCAAGGCTTTAGGGAGGCTCTTGGTTTCCAAGCTGTTAGAAGAGGAAGCAGTGGTTTCTGGCCACTGATGTGGGTTTTCCAAGACAAGTCCATAAGCCTCACTTTATTGCTTTTTGTATAACGAAGATGCAGTTTCACTTCTCTGTGCACAAAATCTTCTCCCCAACATCTAACAGTTCAGTAGACAGCGGAAGAGAAAACAAAATCATTGTGGAAGTCCCCAGTAAGCCATGAGAAGAAATTTAATTTTTCTGCTAGAAAATACCCACAAATCAGGTAGATTAATTCATATTCTTCTTGTACCTAAAGTTTCAACTGTCCTATATCCTCCCAGGTGAGATA